CCTGAATTCCCCTTGGAATTCCACAGCTTGAGGCTGTGACCTCTGGCTCTGTCAGTTCCTGGAGAAGGAGCCCAACCCCAGCTGAGCACAGCCACTGTCAGGAGCTGTGGGGAGTGCTGAGGTCACCCCTGAGTCTCCTTTTCTCCAGGCTGAGCACCCCCAGCTCCCTCAGGGGTTCCTCACAGGGTTTGTGCTCCCAGCCCCTCTCCAGCCTCGTTGTCCCCTCTGGACAAATCCCAACGTCCTTCCCAACCTGAGGGGCCAGAGCTGGACACAACCCTCGGGGTGTGACCTCACCAGTGCCAGGGACAGAAAGACCTCCCTGCTCCTGCAGGCCACACCATTCCTGACACACGAAAACCCTCAATTTATGAGACCAAAAGCAACAATCCAATCTTCCCGAGACCCCAGAGTGCCCACCCTGGATGCTGTGGGCTCACCGGGACATCTGAGGGGCCACAAGGGACTTACGTCAGCCACCGCCGTGGCCTGCTCCACCTGCACCTCAGTGGAGCTGTTGATCTCGGGGTTGGTGGTGTCCAGGATCTCCACGGCCAGGCCCAGCAGGAGCCGGGCGCGGAAGGAGACGCCCTCGCCCAGGCCCTCGTTGAGCTCCTGGTGCTCGTCCATCAGGGTGTAGTTCCGCGTGGAGCCGTACATGTTCACCCAGGCGGGCCCGAAGGTGGGCAGGAAACCTGAGGGGGTGGAACGGGCGGGTGGGAAGGGGATGGAGAGGGAAAAGGGAATGTCATGGTGCCCGTGGTCGGCGTCGCTTTCCTGGTCTCTGCGCGGTGACACAGGCTGGGATGTGTTCTTGCGTTGCCGCCGTCCATGGAGACAGTTTTCAGGGAACCCCAGGATAATTTGGGTTGGGAAAGAGCTCCCAGATCATCGGGTCCATCCTGCGCCTGCTCCCCACCTTGTCCCCAGCCCAGAGCCACATCCAGGAATTCCTTGGACACCTCCAGGGATGGGCACTCCGACCCTCCCTGGGCAGTGCCAAGGCCTGAGCTCCCTTTCCAGGCAGAAATTCCTGCTGCTGTCCAACCTGGCACAAGCAGGCACAATCCACCCGGAAGGATTTAAGTCTTTTACCTCAATCTCCTGACTATTGCGTTTGCGGATTTTTCTGACAGTTTCCCATCAGATCCCAGCACTGCCGAGGCCACCACTACCCCATGTCCCCAGGTGCCACATCCTAATGGCTTTTAAATCCCTCCAGGGATGGAAAATCCACCCGAGCCAGGGATGAACAACGATTTCCAGGATGGAATTTTCCCGATATCCACCCTGAGCCTGCCCTGGCCCAGCCTGAGCCCATTTCCCCTTGTCCTGTCCCTGTTCCCTGGGAGCAGATCCCAACCCCCCCCGGCTGTCTCCTCCTTTTAGGAAGTTGTGCAGAGCCACAAGGTCCCCCCGGAGCCTCCAGGATTTTTTTTGAGGAAATTTGCAGTGAAGGCAGTGATGGGAACTGGGCAAGTCTTCAGCAATTCCCCATTTTGAGGGTCGAGGAAGGAGAACCCCCTGTTCTCCAGCCCCACGTCTGGTTTCCCATCTTTCCCCTCAAATGCTCATCCATCCAGGGAATTTTTGGAACAGCAAATTGTTCTGGGGTGTCTTTGCTTGCAGGTGTTGGCTGAAGGTCTGTGACAAATCTTGGTTTTCAGGGCATTGGTCCAGGAACCTCTCACATTCCAGGACATCAAGGTCTCTCTGGATGGACACCAAGGAATTCCAGGGGTGGGAAGGAGCCTGGAAAACTTTGTGAACTCTGCCAAAGGAATTCCCCCACCCCAACTTTACCTTTGTCCCCTTCATTGGAGATCTTCCTCAGATCGATGAAGTGGGTCCCGATGGCCACGTCGTTGACCTTGTCCGAGTCCCGGATCTGGATCTTGATCCGTTTGCACAGCGGGGGAAACATCTCCGTGAAGATGATCTGCTCGTTCCAGAGGGGCTCGTAGCTGCTCTTCTGTATGGATGTCTTTCCCTGGGAATTGAGAACAGACGGATATCAGACCAGGGTTGAGTAAGAGCCTGAGACCAGCGATACAGGACACCGCGCCCACCTTGACCTGCCAGGTGACACTGTGCCCACCTCGACCTGCCAGGTGACACCGTGCCCACCTCGACCTGCCAGGTGACACCACGCCCATCTCGACATGCCAGGTGACACCATGCCCACCTCGACCTGCCAGGTGACACCGCGCCCA